GAAAACCTACAACGATGGGTATTGCTCCTGGTGTTTGTTGTCCATCTGAAACAGATACAGTAAGCATGTACAAAACTGGTAAAAAAGATAGACTCAAAATGTGTGTTGTAAAATTGCATGATGGTATTACAGTATTAACAAAAAAAGAGAAAGAAAAAGAAATCCCTACCCAAAACACACACCCAAAAAACGAACATACCTAGGCCTCAGTCCTCTATAAAATATCTAGACCTAAATAAAACAGCACATTACTGAAATCCAATTTAACAAAAAAGTAGCAATATAGGCCTTAACTTACATGCAAAAAGCTGTTGGATAGAGTTGATTCCGGAACTTGCAGTTGTTGTGGGTAGAGTACTATTGAACGTTAATAATCTGAAAAAGTAAAATCAATGAATATTTATTAACTTAGGTACAGTATGTAATTAATTTTTTAGGCCCTAGTCTAGCCTTAGGCCATGCCTAATTATAGGAATAATAAATAGCCCGATGCATCTGCTTTTTCGTATCTAATTTATTTTTATATTTTTTCTTCAATCCATATATTCTTGTTGGGCTTTATGCCTTTATGGAAGTAGTACAGTAGTAGTAGTAGTAGTATGTAGGATACTAGGCCTAGACCTACATAGGCCTAATATAGACCTAGCCCAGGCCTATACTACTAGGCCTAGGCTAGGCCTTTATATAGGCCTACACTATATGCCTTTAATTAGGCCTAGGCCTGGGTGGGCGTTCGCGAAGTTTAGATATGGATATTGATCGAAGCTTTACGTTATTTTTACTCTATGAAAGCAAACAAAAATAAAAGTGATAGGCCTACCTATACCATTACCGTTATCAATCATTGAAACAAAAGTAATCATATTCATATATAACGTTTAAACTTACAATTTTCTAGCCATATTTTCTTGGTGAACAACAGAGCCCAGCATTCAAGCTCGCGATTATCTTGAAAACGAATCTAGTGTTGACCTGGTGTTGACACTGTCTCTTATACACATCTAGATGTGTATAAGAGACAGGGTTTATACTGTGTAGGCCTAGGCCTAGCTAGGTTAATACTCGACGAAACCCAAGCATTATAAATATAATTACGCATGCGCATATGCCTGGCAATAACGTCATACCGTTCCAAGTAACTCGTCGTCGCAGATCTAAAACTCGCTAATACCTTTATACTTTGTATTATTATTAGGTTTTTCTTTAATTTCAAAATTAATAGCAGTTTTAATTACATATTTCCATCGATCAGGTATGGCCTTAAGTATGCACAAATATTCGTTTAGCCAATTTGACTTATATTTCAATTTTGCCAACAAGTTATTTGAGTTTAAAAATTTGTTTTTTTTTGACTATGTCTTTAATTAAAATTATACCACTGGTAATCCAGTGTCTGTAACAGAGTGATCTGCTTTTTAGTTGTATTGTATGGTTGCCCCATAGCTGCTCATTCAGTATATCATCATATGTTTCAACCTGTTTCCTGTTACATTTGGTAAACTCTGTACATGCTTGGATAATATTTTTATAGAAGACTGGTAAGTCAAGTGCATTGATATCAGTAAAATTTAAACATGTCATGTTAAATGTTACTTTTACCGTGCCTACTTTTTGAAAAAAGTATTCTGGGATAATTTTCCACTTTGCTTCGTCATAGTTTAGAAGTCGTTTTACCCACGCGACATTTAATGCCTTAATATGTAAACCAAACTCTGGCATTTTAATGCCACCTTTATTTACATCACCAATTAACGTTTTTCTTTTTCTTTTTTCACCTTTATAATTCCAAATAAAATCATGTATTAAACGTGTAACTTTTGTAATGACATACTTTGGTGCGTTTATAACATTTGCAATATAAGTTTTGCCAGTGCAAGGCTCTTTAAAATTATAACTTTTCCAAACAGTGAAAGATTTCTTAAACGCCATAATTTTAGAGTTCTCTCAAGCTCTAACACTTTTTCATCCCAATTTTCAGCACAACATAAACCTGAATTGTATCCTACATAGATTCCTAAAATTTTAACCGGCTTTTTCACCCAACACATATCAAGTGGTTCATCCATTCTATCTTTCCACTTACCAATTCAAAAGGCTTTTGTTTTTTGTCTATTTAGTGTCATTCCTGATACTTTACAAAAGGATTCAATAATATTGAGAGCTACTTGAAGACTATTTTCGTCTCCAACATACAAAACAGTATCGTCTGCCAGTTGACTAATTCTGGCTTCTATATTAATTGATTCATTAGGCAAATTAATCCCCTTGTAAACAACGTTACCTCTCACATTTGAGGCCATAACCTCGACCACAAGTATAAATAAAAGTGCTGATAATGGGCAGCCTTGTCGTATGCCTCTCTCCATGCTAAAATTTTCCGAAACCCATCCGTTATTAATTGAAACACATTCGACATTTTTATATAACACTTCAACCGATTTACAAAAAGAATTTCCAAAGTTAAACTTTTTTAACACAAAAAACATAAAATCTCTATTAACTGAATCAAAAGCTTTTTTAAAGTCTAAGATCATCATTGCCCCTTCAATATCATGTCGTTCGGTATAGTACAACAAACCTTCTATTAAACGGATATTCTCTCCAGCCAGACGCCCTTTTATGTATCCCTTTTGATCTGAGTTTACTAGTGATTTAATAACCCCCGTAACCTATTACTGAGAACGTGTGCAAGGATTTTATAATCAGTATTAAAAAGAGTTATGGGACGCCAGTTATTTAGGTTTTGTCGTTCACCCCCTTTAAACAATAGGGTACTTACCCCACGTCTTTGCGAGCAAGATAGCTGATGTGCCCTAAAACCTTCATTCATTGCATTACACACTAAATACTTTATACTATCCTAAAAAAAGACGTAGAACTCAACACTAAGTCCATCTGACCCTGGGGATTTATTTTTATTCATATATGAAAGAGCATTCTCACACTCATCAATAGTGACAATGCCTTCACATAGATCTTTTTCTTCTTCCGAAAGTGCGTTCACCCTGGTACTAGCGAGGTACGTTTTTATCTGCTCAGGGCATATAGATTGATTTGCGTAGATCATTTTGTAAAAGGCGTGAATCGTGCATATGAGATATTATGAGCTAGTAACCTTGGTTCCTAAGTTAGTAAATAAATTTTTAATTTGTTTGTTCTTGCTATTTGTTTTTTCTAAACCTAGGAAAAATTTAGTATTACGTTCGCCCTCCTCAATCCATTTCGCCTTGGATCTAATTTGAGCACCTTTTGCCTCGATATCATATATTTTTTTTAAGTTCCTTTGTTTTGTTTTCAATATTATTTTCAATAGTTTCATCTCTTGTACAATTGTTCATACTTATTTCATTCAATTTACTTATGTCTTTTTGTAATTTTTCTTTTTTTTTTTCTTATGGTTCTTAATTTTTTTCCTTCCGTAAAATATCGAAGCTTCTTTTACTTTTTGTTTTCACGAAGTTCCATAATAATACTGAATTGAGTGAATTGTAATTGCTTTTTACGTTTTCATTAATAATTTTGATTATTGAGTTTGTGTAAATTTCATCCTTTAGGAAGCTGTTATTAAATTTACACAAACCAGGCCCGCGCCTTTCTTCATGCAAGTCTAACTTAATTGAGACTGCTTGATGGTCTGTATGTATTGCCGGACGAATATCACAAGATATGACATCACCGTTTTGAAGCATTTCTTCTGATATTAAGAAGTAGTCTAGCCTACGATAAATGTTGTTAATTTTTTTGCGCCAAGTAACTTGCAATTTATTTTCGTTTACCATTATCCAACTGTCAGTCAGTATTAAGTTTCTCATTAAGTTCTTGACAGTATAATACTGATTTATCCAGTCTATTTATACTTCCTTTTTGATCTAGGTCTCTATTCATAATACAGTTTAAATCGCCACCCAAAATTAGATTTTTGCAATTTTTGATAGATGTTTAATATATTCTATCGTTTTATATATTTAGGATAATTTTACTTGTCAATTTTGACGATCTGGATAGCGACGGAATAAAGCTTCGGTATTCTCTATTCAGTCTTGATTTGTTTAATTTATTCTATTATTCTTAGTTAAGGTATTTTTATACGTCAATTTTTGCGACCAGATTAGCGACGGAATAAAGCTTTGGTTACTCTCTCTCTAGATTTGATTAGCGTTTAACGTACCTAATGACATTTATACAGTTTTTTTTTTGTTTGTTTTTTTGTTTGTTTTTTTTTTTTTTTTGGTCATGTTGTTTTAGTTAACGTTAGTAATAGTTGTTTATGATTATTATTTCTTTATTGACCTAATTATTGTTATAGGCAATAGTATTGATTTATCTAAGATTCTCTTTTCCGTTATCTGCTACACCTGATAGAGCACCTAAACTGGTATCATCGCGGGTAAATAAAGTGGTCACGAGGAATTCTGTTCCACTATGTTGGGGATTGTCTGTAACGGAAATTGAGCAAGTACAATCTCGGGATGAAGAATTGGCGCCAACACTGACATGGTTGAAAGATGGCGTATCGCCGTCTAATAATGAATTATTCTCAGCCGGGCAAGCTGCTAAGCATTATTGGTTGAGTAAAGACAGAATGTGTCTAAGGGATGGTATCGTTTTCATCAGAAATAAGCACACTGAAGATCAGTTATTGTTATTACCCATGGAGTTGGTCAAAGAAGTGCTATATATGTACCACGATTTACCATCTGCTGGACACCAAGGCGCGAATCGTACTAAACTTCGCCTTAAACAAAGATATTACTGGTATGGGATGACTGGCGAGATCGAACGCTACTGTATATCACTGGCTGTGAAATCTGTAATCGCCATAAGAAAGGAAATAGTAAATTAGGGCGTTTCCAACATGTTAATTTTCATTCGGGTATTCCGATGGAAAGAGTACATGTGGATTATGCAGGTCCATATCCTAAGTCCGATCGTGGGAACATTTATGTTCTTATGGTGGTTGATCAATTCACAAAGTGGGTTGAAGCGTATCCAGTACCATCTCAAACGGCGAAATCAACTGCTGAAGTATTGAAATGTCCTCAGATAAAAATGAGGCGAATTGCTGCCTTATGGAAGTGGAAGAGGCGAGTGACGCCGCCAACCAACTTCAACCTGGTACGACGTTTACGTTTATCCGGAAAGCACGGATACTTTCAACAGGCGAATTTCCAGCCCAACGCCAAATGGGATCTAAAACAAACCAGCCTGTTCGCCTACGACTTACGGGTTTGCCATCACCGCTGCCCACCGAGATGAGGTTCTATGTGGCGGATAGAATCCCAAAGAATAAGTCAATGAACGGAACTGTGGTCATGGGACCAGATTTGGATGGCGTGTACGCCTGTTCCGTTAAGTATCGAAATCGAGATGGACTCGAAAAACTGTTAGAGGTGGAAGCCATTCGTCTCCGTTTGCCAGTAGGGATGTGAGAGTCTCGGGGAAGGGGCGTTCCGTCCAGATTTCATCCGATAAGGAAGGGCGTTTCGCCCGAACTTCATCCACCAATGAAGGGCATTCTGCCCGTTCCAGTTGCAGCACGCCTTGGGTGAAGGGACGTTCGAGTAGATATTCGGCACCTTATTCGGCGAAGAGTACAATTCAGCGTCAGAAACATTCAAGGCGTCTCTACTTGTGCCCGGTATCTGGTTGTGGCCTGGTGCATGATAACCCAAAGAATCATTTGGGGAGTCATGTACCCAAAGTGTGACCAGATGACTGCGCTTAATGATGAGTATAAGGAGGTTGAAGTGGGTCTACAAGTAGCGGAACAAGCTCCTTTCTATAAACCTGCAAGTGCAGCAGTAAACAGACAGCCACTTAGGGCGTTTCGCCCAAATAGATCGGCAACATTAAAGCCCTACTCGCAGTCAAGAATTCGCTCACCATTGTGCCGAGATGACCAGAGTGGAGCAGTTCTCGATTTTGGAAGAGATCTGCAGCGCCTGCTCAGAGCAGTAGAGCAATCTGGGAAAGCTGAGTTGGCGATTGGCGCTATTGGGATTCTGGAGGGCGGTGTGGCGTTTCTCCGGATTTTGGAGGGGAACCTTCAATAGTTTTTGTGTTTTTATGTTGAACGGCGTCAACCAGTTGTGTTCAGTTTGTGTTGACGTCTGTGTTGTTTATGTTTAAAAAAAAAGTTGTGTTTTGGCTTGTTGTTGTGCACCATAGTTTTGATATTGTTCAGTGCACTCTATTGTTCTTTGTTCTTATCTTTTTCGACTTGTTAAAAAAAAATGTTTTTGTGTTTTGCTTGTTGTTGTGCACTATGGTTGTGTTATTGTATAGTGCACTCTCTTGTTCTTTATTCTTGTCTTTTAAAAAATGCAACCTGAAAAGGAAAATAAACAAATGATTATATCAAGAAACTAAATGGAATCAAGAGGGGAAGCAAAGGAAAAAGTATAAGAGAAGGGGAAGTGTAAGAGAAGAGGAAGTTGAATATAAGAGAAGAGGATATAGAAGAAGAGGAAGGGAAGTGAATATAAGAGAAGAGGAAATATAGAAAGGAGAAGAAGAAATAAAAATAAAACAGGGAAGAATGTAGCGCTAGTTGCTATTCGGATGTCGTTAAGTACGCACTGGTGTTCACGCTGATGATCTTCTATAAGGCTATGTTCTCACACGGCAGCTAACGGTTAGCAGAATCAGGATTCTGCTAACCGTTAGCTGGCGTGTGTCCATTCGAGAAAATCCCGATGCGGATACCAAGAAAATGACGTCATTTTAAAGGTCACTCAATCGGAAGTCAAACCGATAGATCATTGTTCGCGCGAGAATTGAAAACAAAATTTCGAGGTTGATGAAACAGATGCATGATGAATATTCTGCCCATGTTACCACTTATTTTACCGATGCTTGATATAGATTTCAATATTTTCGATAACGTTCAGTTATCCATGAGGCAAAAGTCCCCGTTAGCAGAAATGGTCAATATAGTGAGCTCTCTGGTAGTTGAGAGTGAGCTGTCAAATGGTCCAGAGGGAGCTGTTAGCAGCTCCATAAACTTAACTTTAATTGGTTTTAAGAGTCCATTGGGAGTTAACAAGAGAGTCCTGGCCAGCAACATATAGCCATTGGAATGTAAACAAGAAACCCATTACAATCACTCACTTCATCTCATGGGCTTCAGTGGCAATAAATAATTTAAGAACCCTTCGCTATTCAACAAACCAGCAGGATATGTATAACCCGGGTTTTTTTTTCCAAAATCCGGGTGCCATGGACCAGTTCTGTTAATCGCCAGATATGCAGCATGCATTAATTTTCGGTCTATTAAATACAGTTGTAGTATGTAGAAGGCGACGTTTAGACATACTTCATCAGCTTAAAGTGAGCCAGGCTAGATACGCAACGGAGCAGGAGCGTTTACTCGCAGAAGGGAAGCCCTAGGTCCTCCATACCCACAGACACGGACGGCCCAAAACTCGTAGATTCTGTGTTAAAAATAACAAAGACCGGAATTGGTGGGAAAAAACAGTATTGGAAAAATGGGATGACGACGATTGGCTTGATAATTTCAGGTAAAAAGTTAATTTAACTTATTTTAAGTTTTGTTTTGCCGAGTTCAGAGAGAGCTAGGCCTAGCCTAGCCTACCCGGTTCGCATACAGTACCCTCCTTTCTTTATTCTGGCCTATACGCTATATACATAATGATAATTCCTTGACCTTATCTGCTTATGCACGTTGCCCCCTCCTCGTCGGCAATAAAGTAGACAAGCTAGGACTAGGTACAGAGGCCAAGGCCTAGCCTTTTAGAGCATTATAATACTGAAATTGAAATCTAATTTAATAATAATGTCAAAAATAAATGTGCCTGATTGATGTCGTACATGTTTTTTTTTTATTTCGAATAATTTAGTAGCAATTTATATTATTTATGCATCTATTTTAGGATGAATCGGGAGACATTCTCGTATCTTGTTCGTGAACTGCAGCCGCATATTGGAAAACAGTGTACAAACATGAGAAAAGCATTGATGGCTGAACATCGACTGGCGATTACTTTATATCGGCTCTCCTCTGGCATGTCCTTTAGAGCTATTGCCAACCAATTTGGGGTAGGGAAATCTACAGCCTGTAATATCTACCATGAAGTGTGTGCTGTTATAGAGCAGGAGTTGATGCCGAAATATATCCGGTTTCCAGAGGGAGAAGAATTACTGGTATGTAATGTCTATACATGCTAATGTAGTGTATTTTTAAAGTAATTTTAAAATGTCATAATTACAGTATTAGTTTTCGAAACTCAGTGCCGATGCTTATATGACTACACAAAAATGCAAAAAGTAGTTAATTAATGCATTATGTGTATACTATATAGGCTTACTAAAAAATACCTGGTGGAAAATGTACAGGCTTTACTTTTCAAAAGCAAATTTTATCTACCTCACTTATTTGTTCGATCTCACTTATAATTTCATGTCTTTTGTTGCTTTTCATTTCATTTTTCATTTCAAAAGACATTTATTAACTTCCAATTGCAATCATACAGAAAAATACAAAAAAAATCGGTTTAAGAGGAAAAAATTCAAAAGGGAGAAGGCACAAGCCCGAGAAGATTTGAAAAAAAAAATCTTGTGATGGGCAGGCCTGGACACAGACTCACACGAACACACAGAGACCCAGACAAACAAACAAACACACGGTACAAACGCACACAAACAAGACAACAGAACAGGCAGTTTCAAGGAGCAGCAAGTCGATCTTATACACATCTAGATGTGTATAAGAGACAGGTATCGTGCCTTTCCGATAGAATTAATGGCTGAGTATAAAAAAGTACCTTGTTGAATTCGGTTAATGTCAGTGAGTTTGAGAAGGTTTAAATTGGAAAATAAGGGAGAGGAATGAGACAGCGGTGGAGCGCCAGATATGAGTCTAATAGCTTTTATTTGGAGAATGTGGAGTTTGTTAATGTTAGTTAAATAGGTATTGCCCCAAACGATATTGCAATAGCTCAAATAAGGAAGGATTAGGGAGCAGTAAAGGATACGGAGAATATTATGGGGTACAAATTGGGATAATCTAAAAATAATACCAAGACTTTTTGAAATTTTATTCTCAGTTTCGTTGATATGCTTTTTCCATGTAAGCCCGCTGTCAATATGTACCCCTAAGAACTTGACTGATTGAACAGAGGGTATGTCATAGCTGTCAATAAAGATTTTAAAAGGGGTGGTATCAATACATTTTAACTTCTGTGGGGTCTTTAACAGCTGAATGTGGAGAAGTTCAAGATGAGAGGAGGTTTTCCTCAGGTGGTAGCTGCCATTGACGGCTCCCATATTCAAATTATTGCCCCAGATGAGCAAGTACAAGATTATTTCAATAGGAAGCAGTTCTCCTCAATAAATCTCCAGGCATGCGTTGATTCAAATGGACTTTTCTGCGACACATTCGTTGGAATGCCTGGTAGCGTCCATGATGCTCGTGTGCTAAAAAGATCTGCTTTATACACAAAACTAAAAAATGGAACGCTATTCAGTGTTAACAGACCAGTGCAGGTGCAGGATGTTGAGGTACCTTTAATGTTAATCGGTGACCCAGCATATCTCCTAATGAAAAATCTTATGCGACCCTATTCCGGGCGAAATAGATTAACACCGACGCAAAATCGCTTTAACTACAAATTGTCCCAATGCAGGGTTGTGGTTGAGACTGCCTTTGGTGGCGGCTCCTCCTTAATAAAAACCAACATGACATTAGGAATTTGAGACATGTTATACAAACATGTTGTGTACTGCACAACATTCTGGAGAGTAACCGTGTCCCCTACAAACAACATTGGAACAAGGATGTCCCTGTAGAAGGACCAACCAATGATCCTTGGCCGTATGACACCACAGGGGAAAGAATAAGGGAAGCCACAAAAGAAGAATTAACGCATCTAGATTAGGATAACAATGCATTTTGGATAATAATCAAATATATGAAATTTTGGATGCCAAAATATCTGTCAGTTGTTTAAAATAATTTGCTTTGAAATAAAAAAAATTGAAAAGGACATACAGTAGTTGCTGTTGCCTTTGTTTACAGTATTCATTCATCAATCAGTACGCATTGCATGATTCTTTTCTCTTTGGAAGCAAGCTTCATTTATTAAACAATAACACAAAAATTAACAACTACATCACATGGCAACCTTTCCTTTATCACTACAAACCCAACCCAAAAAGGTCAAATAAATAAATTTTCAACCCCTATTATGGGGATCTTTTTTTTTTTTTTTTATAGAACTGTACATATCACACTATATAAATTAAAAATGTAACAATATTTCACACAATTTATTATTTTGACGACGTCTGAGCTGGGGCAGATGCAGGATTTGGCTGTAGGGGGTGCGAGTCCACACCATCTCAGCGCCAAAATGGTTGTGGGTAAGGCATGAAAATTTTAAGAATACGAACCCAGAAATTGCACTTTCATAACTTTAAAATCTAACTGGTACTGTAATTTATATAAAAAATACAACAATCCATTTATATAAATATAATTTGGCAAGGAGGGGATGCGATCTCCTGCATCTGCCCAAGCTGAGAAATCAAATCTTGATTTTTAAAATTGGTATTGCTAGGGAAACTGGGGCTAATAAATTCTAAATACAACAGAGAACATAACAAGTAATTTTACTTTAAACAGTGCATCAATGGGATGGATAAATGCTTTAAATTTAAATACAGTATAATTAATGAGTCAATATGGTCAATGAATGATGAACTGCATACTGTATATATGCAAGACTAGATTTGAGATAAAGTTAATAATTGTTGCTATTCAAGTTGCCCAAAAAAGGATTTGGAAACAGGTTGGGATGAAGCTGCAATTGCTGTGGTTGTGCTGGTACCATTCTTTCGAATACAGCCAGCAACCGCTCTTGGTTTCTTTGAGTTGTGGCGACATAGTTCTGCTGTAGCTTTAAACCTTCATTAAGCGTATTATGCAGACGGCTTATTGCTGCTCTTTCCTCTTCAGTAATTTCTTTTACTTGCTCCATTTGCTCCTTCATTGCTGATTTCCAAAATCTATTATTTTCCCTCATCTGGTCCTTTAAATGCTTTGCAAGTGACCTAACATTTTGTTCACTTTTGGGCAGCGTACCAGTGTTTCTCCCCTTTGCCATTAAAATATAGGAAAATTTGTGCTTTTATTATACAATATAGGAATTATTGCAAAATAAAAATATAAAATTCATAGAGAAATATAAAGAAATTTCCATACATATAATAAAAAAAAACGGATAACAGGGTAAAACAAGTACAGTAAGTAAACAAATACTGTACAGTATTTGCTGTGACATCTGCTGATACCAAACACTTTTGATCACTTATTTTATATTTTTGAGGTACATGGACATAACATTTTAAAACTAAAAGCTAATTTGTTATTTAAAAAAATGAACTGTCACAATGTCTGGGGATTCTAGCAGGGATGTAGTTATGGTGGGCGGGGACACCCATCCTTGAACTTTTCCACCCAGTCTGAAACTAATTTCATGGCCCTCCAACCAACGTTATTAACCCACTTTTCCATCCGTTTACTAATGTTATCACCCACCCATCCTTAAAATGTCATCTCAACCATCCCTTAATTTTCTACAGCTACAACATAGGTATGTAATATCGAGAAAGAAGGTATACTCATCATTAATAAAACACAGCACTCACATCTTTTGATAGGAGTTTGTTCTGCATCTGAAACAG